ATTCAAACTGTTCTAAGAGGAAACGGTACTTCAACTTTAAACAAAGCAGCCTTACCTTGGGGATATTACACAAAGGACCGTCAAAGCAAAAATGAAAACGAAATATATTTAACAAACGGATGCCGAAAATGGGAAGCTAAATGGAGGAACGCTCGTACACATTTATGAGAATGGAATGTAGGTCAGGAAAAATAGAGGGGCAGTTTTTTCAGCGCCAGCCAGACATTTACATGGTAATGGAACAGCCTTAACAACAATAACTCCTACAGGAAAAAATAAAGCGTTTTATTGAAATATTCTTTGTAACAGGAAATATTATTAAAAGTTAAAAAATATGATAAAGATCAAGGATGTTATTTGCATTTTCTTCTTTAACAGAAAATAAATTATTGAAACAAATGATTGATTTTCATCAGAATTACCATACAAAATACTGGACCTGAATAAAAAAATTATAAGCAATATATAAGTAAAATAATAAAATATTTATACTTTGCATATTTGAAGTGAAACTTCTTACTGTTAAATTGAAGTATTTGAAGGATATATATTTTTAGGAATGCTTTTTATAAACTTCAAAAAAAATAGAAATAATATAAAACCGTATACTATTCTAGCTTTCTGATTTTATAATGTTTTTTTTTTAATTTTTGTTAAAAAAAACTATAATCCTATTACCCGGATGGATAGCCCTGGCGGCTGTGGTCATTAAATCAAAATATTACTACATCTATATCTCTGACTACTACTAACTGCTACTAACTAACAATTTGTTTTGTGTGGTTTTTGATCTGTTTTTGTTTTAATGTTTTGTTTATTATTCATGTTGGGGATTTACTTCTAAATTAATGCTAACCGTTAGGCAACCAGTAAACTCATAGAATATGTATTTCTTTTGCATAATCAAAATTTTCACTCTAAATTTTACACAATCAAATTGTCACTCTAAATTGCTGTCTTTTTTAGACAGATGTCACTTGTCTTGTCATTATTCAATTTATTATTCAAAATCTCATAATGTTGTTAGCAAAAGTTTCATCTTAAAATTAAATTTTAATCAATCACAATTGTTTATCTCCATCATTTACCGGATTCATAATACAGAAATTACAGTTCAACTACAAACAATTTATTATTTATAGTGATTTACACTAATTTTATTAAAATATACGGTTATTCTCGTTGATTATTGGTTTGAAATAAATATGACAGTGTCCTCCAATGAAAATACGAGTTACTAACTATAAATCCTAATTGTGAGCTGGCAAATGATCTAAATGATTTACCTAAACCGTACTTAGTAGAAGCTACAAACCTATCGATAAAAATGTGCATGAAAATTTACTTACCTAGCACACAACCAGGCCAATGTTACCCATCAAGGTTGGTACAGTATCAAGTTTATTATAGTGATTTTCTTAGCTGCGTTTGGCACATCTTATTTTTTATCGGGTAGATCACGAGAGAGCTGGGTTAAATTGTTTTAGAAAGGGGTAGATGTGGCAACACTGCCGCTATCACTTTTCCTCTCGCTAGCTCGCGCATCACGGCCGTCAGTCAAGGCCGTGTGTCACAGTCTCAGATGGTCTAGAGGCATTATTATGGCCCAAGTGACTTAGAACAAAGCTACTTCTGATACTAAAGAGAAACAGTCTTAAGACCATTATAGAAAATTTAACACAGCACTAGAAATCCTCACACAATACAGAATTCCTCACACAATACTACAACTCTATCCTCTACAGAAAATCTAAATAGTTGAGGATGCGGAATGTAGATTTTGTATTGAAGATGACGAGTCAACAATACATGTAGTTTGTAAATTCAATGAACGAGTTTAGACTAAAACATATAGATGGCAGAGCTCTGGAATAATAGACATAAAAAGACATCAGGCCAGAAAGAATATGCTCTTTTGTATAGGAACCATGTTGTGATTTTGAAAAAAAATGAAAATTTAGAATTTTTATGAAAATTCCACACCTGTAATTATTAACCAATCAAAACGTGTTTTTTGGCAAATCACCATGACAACGGATAAATTTTAGTGAATTTTTTTTCCTTGGCACCCAACAGCGAATTATACTGGAAATTTTTTGACGTTTATAATGACAGAATATCTTTTTGAAACTCTGGTTTTTATTTATTTACATGATAATTTTGATACATTTTAATTACAAAGCTGAGATGTTTTCTATATTCTTTGGACACCTCTTTTCTTCTTAATGACGAAAATATAGTACTTGGAATGGACTGAATTAAATGTCTATGTCTAATGAAATATATATAATATTTAGACACTATTTTATTCACCTTTTTTCCATTTAGCACCTTGAATTTTGAGTAGTTTAGATGCAAATATTCGTGAACAATTCGAAACAAATTTTCTTTCTTCAGGTAGGAGCCACAATCTTCTATTAATGCGGGTAAATAAGTCATCGCACGATGATTGATCATTACATCAGACAATTTCAGGCATATTTTGCATGTAGTATGATTTTTAAACTGAATCATTTTTAAAACAAAGAATTTTGTTGCTTTTTCAAGCTGCACAATATTCTTTACTACAACAAAACGCGAGTTTTTCTGATATTTTGAACTGTCAAAATACGATGATCACAGCCTTTTATGATTGACGCTTGCTGACGCTGCGCGCTTGTTATGAATTCCATACCAATAAAGCTTTTATGAAAAGTTAATAAAAATGCTAAAAAAGCAATTTTCTACCACCTGAAGTTACTCAAAACTTATGTAAAATTAAAGAATATATTGTGTTGTGTCTTGAGATGGTATTTTCGTGCAACTACAACGAGTAGAAGTCAACAATTTAAAGGTCTAAATTGCTACCAAAACTGTGACGCGCTGTAAATCTGTTCATGCAGCGTTCCGAAAAGCCTTTTAAATTATGATTTTCTACCACTTGTAGTAAGCCCAAGTAACTATAAAATAAGAGAATATAATATTTTAGGTCCTAAAATGGCACTTTTGAGCTACTACAATCAGTAGAAATCAACAGTTTATAGGCTAAGAATCCATTGGGGACAAGACAAACTGAATCTGTTCATGTATATATCTATAGAACTAATAAAATTTTCATTTCCTACCACTTGTAGTAGTGTAATGTTGTATTTTAATGCAACTACAAAGAGTAGAAATTAAGAATTATCGCAGGCTTGTAATCTATACCTAGGATGATCACGAAACTTCGACCCAATCTAAATTTGTTCATGAACTATTGTATTTGAAAATCAAATAGAGTTTCTAGCAGTTAAAAAATAACAAATAAAATAAGTTTTTTATTTAAATTTAAGTAGTGGTTACAATAAGTAGATAATAATCTCGATAATAATAAATCTAATTATTTATATTATTTTGACTATTGTAGTTATTGTTTATATGAAAAACGCAATTATTTTAAACTATTGTAGGATTGGCAGGTTGAATGGAAGTAGTTGCTTGTTCTTGATCAAGAGATTCTTGAATTCTTTTTGTAGAAGTTGAAGCAGACCTCATTGCGTCAATTATTTCCTGACGATGGCCCGAATCTATTTGCAGATATGGTTTTATGGAATAGTTGCTACCATGGCCTGTTATTTTAATTAATTGCTGTTCTCCAGTTCCCGTTTAGGCTAAAGTTGAAACAACAGTGGCCCTTGCAGAATGATTTGTTATCTTGATCTTGTTGACATCGATTCCAATCAATGATGCCGCCGATTTGAACCAGGAAGGTATTGTATTTTGTCCAGCCGGGCTGTTCTTGTAGCAGCCTTTGGAATTGGGGTGCTGCCAGTTTGGATTTGGAGTTAAAAATAAACGGTTCGTTTTGATGAGATGGCCTCGCTTGCTTGTTAGTTTTTTGAACAGTCTAACTGGGCATATTTCTTTATTGATTGTATTCGGTACTAGCCATTTACTGTCAGACATTTTTATTGAACCGTTTCAATGCGGCCTGTTAGTTCCCCTTGATTGTCAATTTCCTCCACAAAATATTCTATTGTTGCTGCCGCTCCTTCATTTCCTCTCCAGTCCAATTCATGAGCAGTAATGTGAAAGAACTTTCTTTGCAATCCTTCCGGAGTATTTTCATCCCAAAGCTCCATAATCTTTGTCAACTCGTCTGCTGATAATGCGGATGAACTTGCCTTTCTCTTGGTTGGATCCGTTTGTAGCTTCCGACGTTAGCATTTTTTGCAGCTCTTGCGTTTACAAATTCTATGTCAGAGAATGGATTAAATTTGCGATTATACCTTTCGAAAAAATATTCCTGCAACTGCCTGGCTGTGGAGTACCATAAAACTTTGATAACACTCTCCTTGTAGTCTTCAGAGTTCTTTTTTCGCATGTTGAACCCATAGTCTTCAAGAATAAGCGGTATATCCGCTCTCTTGAAATCATACGATCTTTCTGCGCAAAAGTTTGTAAACTACTTCCATACTCTTGACTTCGATTTCCTAGTATTCGCGGCTGTCAACTGCTTAGCCTCCTGGCGAATATTTTCTTTGCTTTCTTGACCGAAGCAAAACATTTTTTGAAGTCGTGCTTGACAGCTTCAAAACTGAAATAGTTTTTAGGTTTGGATGGCACTTAGTTGCCAAAGTAACTAAATAATCAAGTCGACCAAAAATCGAAAAATACATTTTAATTATTTGATTTTCAAACACAATTTGGTGTGGAATTTTCTTACCAAATACCACACGAGGTCCAATTAAATCGGGAAATTTTTTCGAGCTCATGAATATTTTGAAAATTATCCCGAGTCGAAGACGAGAAATAATTTGACCTCCAGTGGTATTACTAGTGCAATTTTTTTGGAAAATTTTGTTAGTTTTTAGTTAAAAAACATATCTTCATAATATGGCAGCATAGGTAGTAGGTTCGATTTATAAGAAAGAAAACCATGAAAAGATCCATCGGTTTTCAAAATTTAAGCGAAAAATATTTTTTTTTATATCTTCAAAGTAAAATATCTTCTTATATATTAGTTTTTTCAATTGTTTCAGGATAACGTTTTGCGGCATCACCATGAAAAACTACGTCGAGGCCAACATTTCACACAAATCACACACGACGATCAAGTACGCCATGAAAATGTTGAGCAGCTCGTCGGAAACGATCATTTTTATGTTTTTGGGTGTTGCGACTGTGAATAAAAGCCACGACTGGAACACCTGGTTCGTCATTTTAACGATACTGTTCTGTTCTGTGTACAGAGCCATTGGTAAGTCGATAAAGCTGAGATTAATAGCATTTAATGGAAAAAAGATAACATTTGAGCATTAATGAGAGATTATATTTGATTCGTATTGTTTTTATATCGTCATTTAGTTGATGGATAAAAATGTTCCTTTTGGCTTATTTCTTTAAGGTAAAAAAAAGAAGAAAGAAATTTGAACTAAATTTAATCTAATACCGTTGATTGGTATATACGCAACCTAATGAGCGAATTCGTGACAAGTATTTGGTATATCGGATTTGATTTCTCCTTACGTATCAGGTGCTGTACAGTGGAGACACCAATCGTTTTGCTGTCAACGTATAAAACACTTATTTTCTCTAACTCGGCCAACGAAGGCATATCGAAGACGGTGTAGTTCTGAAAGCGACAGTGTTTCCATATTAAAATGTGCCATATCTGTAATATGTTTGACGAAAATATCTTTGGCTGAAAAATCTACGTTTATGTATTGAAAATTTATTCGTGTTAAGCTTAATTTTCATGCATCCGTTGTCCGACGATACGATGAGACGATATTAATTTTATTGGTTGAATTTAAAAGCTTGGTTAATCGTTTCTAACTAATCGAAGTTTTAAATTCAACCAATAAAATTAATATCGTATCATCGTATCGTCGGATAACGGATGCATGAAAATCAAGCTTTAACCATAGAATAAACAACAAAAATTAAAATTATTTTACAGGTACTAAATATGTCGTATGATCGAAAAAAGTCGTTTAGTTGGCTTGCATCTTTTTATATTTGAATATGCTATTTTTCCACTATTTCTATCCGCTGAACTTCTCTACTTTAATGTCTAGTCCTAGTATGTCATTGATTAGCAATCTTAACATAACTTATTAAAAATGGGCTTAGAGCGTAACAATTGCGGAAGATGGTGAAGTTCCCAACCTTAATTAATTTAATTACAACCGTAATCTATTTAAAATTTAATTTTCTGTATAATTTTTTTTCCGTGAACTTTTCCTATCATTTAGTAGTTATTCTGCTATTGGGAGCGGAAACAAATCCAATAAATCACCCAACATTAAAATCGGTCCAACTCGTCCAACCGTCCTTATACTCGTAGTTGTAAGTATTAAGTTATAAGTATTAAGTATTTTTATTGTACAGTATGGTCGAAAAGAAAAACAACGTCTGGTTGTCTTGGAAATGAACATCGATGACATTCTCTATATAATTTTACATATTATAATGATAGGGATATTCATTTCATAGCCATCGCTGACGCCGTTTTTTTTTCGATCATGTGGTATTACTAGCCCAACTTTGTTTTATATGTATTTAGATATGATGACCTATGTATTTCATACTTTTTGGATTATACAAGAAATTCTAAAAAAAATTATGTAGAATGTAGAATGTAGAATGTTTAGGAGGGGAGTTAATCACCGCGACCTTATAGATCTATTGTGTGTCCCCTTTCTTGAGTTATAACTCATCATACAGTCTCAGGGTTTTAACAAAAGGCAGTATCTGAGACGGATCCACAGAGGCCAGCTCTCCATCCTCGACATCAGACGTACCAAGGTTCATGGCACGAATGGTCGTCGTCTCGACGCACTCAGTGATAAGGTGTTCTGGTGTTTCCCCATTTTCCCCACAAAATCTGCATTCGCCGTTGTTTCTCAGTTTCAGCCTACTGAGGTGTTCGTTGAGGAGACAGTGTCCTGTTAGAAACCCCGTGACAATCCGAAGATTGTTTTTAATTAAATCAAGGAAAACCTTTGATTTTTCTCGGTCATAAGTTCTGAGGAACTTTTTCGAGTGTCTTAGACCGTTGGAGGACACCCATTCCAAGTTACGGATGGAGTCTTCCAGATTCTTCAGTTTCGCTTTCAGTTGGTTCCCGTTTGGAAAACAGAACGGTTCTGGTCCAGTTAGTGGAGTGTACGCTCCTTTTCTAGCTAGATCATTTGCTTTTTCATTGCCTTCTATCCCTTGGTGAGCAGGCACCCAGAGTAGGAGGACTTTATTTTCTTTGCCTAATTTGTTGAGCTTCTCTAGGCATTCTTTGACCAACTTCGAATTGATGGTTACTGAGTTGATCGCGTTAAGTGCTGCTTGACTATCGGATAGGATGGCAATTTCCTGTTTTCGATAGTTCCTATCTAAGATAAATTGTACGCATCTTTCGATAGCGCAAATTTCTGCCTGAAGGATACTGGGGTACGTGCCCATTGGTTCGGAGTATTCAGTTTTCGGCCCAAATACTCCTATCCTTGTCCCTGCTTTAGTTTTGGAAGCATCAGTATACCACGTGATGGTATGGTCTTTTATATGCTGAGTAAGCGTTTCTTTCTTCCAATCCTTTTTATTACTCAATAATCGGTGTTTCTCAAAGTTGTAAATTCTTGGTATGTCATCCACTGGGAGTTGGAGAAGTGGAATTTTCTTTTTGAGGGTGTTCCAAGCCCCTGACCTGAAAATTCTCCCAGTACTGTTTCCGTCAGTAACCATTCTAATCATTGTCGCATTGGCACAACTACCGACGACAATATGCAGTGGTGTTAGGTCTAGAATGACCTCCATTGCTGCTGTTGGACATGTTCTCATGGCACCTGTGATGCAGATACATGCCAGTCTCTTTACTTTGCACAGGTTTTGCCTTGCTGTACGTTGCTCTAGTTTTGTATACCAAGCAACTGCTCCATAAGTAATCATGGGTCTTACTATCATGGTAATACAACCAGCGCAAAATGTTAGGGGCGCAGCCCCACCTATTTCCCCCCAGTCTTCTGCATATCAGAGAGTCTTTGTGGCTTTGCTAGTAATGTTCTTAATATGCCTGTTCCAGAGAAGTTTACTATCCAGGGTTATTCCCAGATATTTCACTTCCAGCGATGGCAGTATTTCCTTTCCATCTAGATACATTCTTTTCAAGTTTTTCAAACTTCGCTTTCTGGTGAATGGCACTACTGCTGTTTTATCTGAGTTAATACTCAGCCCGACAGTCCTGCACCATCTCTCAGCGATGCGGAGTCCTCTTTGGATAATATCACACAGGGTGCCTTCATGTTTCCCCCGTGCAATGATGACTATGTCATCTGCATACCATATGCAGTGTATTCCCGCTAGAGTTAATTCTTCCATTAGTTCATCCACTACCAAGCTCCACAGTAGGGGGGAGGTCACTCCACCTTGTGGAGTTCCTTGCGTTGTTTTAACAACTACAGTTTTGGTACAACTGCTGTTCGTGTTGAGAGCATTTCCCAAAACCAGCGAATTATCGTACTGTTCACCCCTCTTGTTTCAAGAGATCGCTTGACCACGTTGTGAGGTATATTGTCAAATGTACCTCACTGCAATGTCCAAGAAGGCACAAAGTGTTGTTTCTTTGCTATCCAGGCTTGCCTGTATTAGCTCAGTTAACTGGTACAGAGCAGTTTCTGTGGATCTGCCCGCTCTATATGCATGCTGACTATGGTGCAGTGGTTTAACCTGTAGATGATTTACTCTAATATGGTTGTCCACTACTTTCTCCATCGTTTTTAATATGAACGATGTGAGACTAATAGGTCTAAATGATTTGGGGTTAGCCCAGTCAGTTTTGCCTATTTTGGGTTGGTATATATCCCATCGCTAAGCTGCTTCTTGTAATGTTTAATAGATGGAGTGTAGCTATTTCCTGACCCTTCTTTAGAAGGGCAGGAAAAATCCCATCTATTCCTGCTGTTTAAATTATGTAAAAAAATACTTTATTTAAATTTAACTGCTTGTCAAACATGACAAATGGGAAGTAGAAAATAATAGCTTTGTTCGAAAGGCAGTCAGAAGTAGTACGAGTATACAACGCAACGGTCCGACGCATATGCATGAAGCTTAAAGCGTTTGCAAAGAGCAAAATTAGTGATTTCTAACTAAAGATACAGTTTTTGCAGAATAAATATTTATAGTTCTTAACTGATTTACAATCGTTAGAATAGTCCGCGTACTAGTAATTTTTTTTTTTTTTAATTTTGGTCATGTACATTTTTGATTACGAATTGACGCACGAGCAAAAAGAATACATTTTCCTATCACCATGAATAAAACAATTAAACGTTGCAAAAGTATTTTATATTTTTTGAAACATCTTGAACCTTGGTGCTATATTTGAACTGTTCTAGACTAGGAACAATTTTTATATCAGAATTGCTTAATTCAGACTTAATGAAATTTAATAAGACAAGAATAACTTATGACAAGACAAGACAAATATTTATTTTATTTACAATTCAATCAAAGGTTAATTGTCACATCATTTTGGGACTTACCAGTTAAAATTTGATTTCGATTGATCGTTCGCAGAAGTATAATCGGGTAATAAGGCTTGAGACCAGTTGGAAACCAACAATCCGTAGAAACAACATAACGTAAAGGCAACCGGTTGGATATTTCGCTGCGCGAACAAAGTTAAAAAAAAAAACAAAAAAAAACAACGCTTTATTGTACAAAAAGCCAAAACAGCTTCATCGACAAAGCAAAACAAAAAAAGCACAAAAACAAATATACAAATAATACAAAAAATTTTATACAATACAAATCAATTAAAAAAAAAAATTTACGTCATAAAATTACAAATAAAACATATATGGACATTGCAGAACACAGGCGTATCTAGAAAATTTTACAAAAGGAAAACTGTAAATGGATAAAATCATGTTATAATAACATAAAATCAAGAGTTATAAAATATTAAATACTAGACCTTTAACCAGTGTGTGAGATGATCAAAATATTAAAATTAAAATTCTAAATTGTTCATGATTAAACATCAACAAAAAAGTCGTTTACCGCATATAGGGCTCTCTCCAGTAAGTATGATTTCAGATATTTGCGAAATGCGGGAAAGAATGAAAGTGACTTGATATTCGAAGGCAAATGATTGTACATTTTCTTGGCATTGTACAGTATTGAGCCCTTAACTAGTTCTGAGCTCGGGGTTGGCAGATAAATATCGTGCTCCGCATTCCTAAGTGGATAGTTGTGAGAAGGCTT